AGCATGTTCCATAAAAGTCTGTTAAAAGGTTTTACTAGCAGTTATATCAAGTAATGAAAATGTAAAGCATGTTCCATAAAAGTCTGTCAAAAGGTTTTACTAGCAGTTATATCAAGTAATGAAAATGTAAAGCATGTTCCATAAAAGTCTGTTAAAAGGTTTTACTAAGTTAAAACATTATTGCTATAAAACCTGTAGTTATCTCTAGATAACATTTGCCTATCAGAAGGGAAGTATCATATTTTAAATCAACAAAGAATAAGAATGTTATGAGGTATAAATGGACCTTACTTTTGCCCTGTTGTGAGCGCACCCTCTGGAGCATACCATCAGGGAGAGCATCATTCACCGAGGCATAGTCAGACTCTGGTGTCGGCGAACTCACCACATCCTGTAAAGTCACGACTCACACATCAAAGTTCAACATACAAGGGGGAAAGAAATAGTCATGTGATGACATTACTGTATTAAATTTCAGGATGTTATTATACATCAGTTACTTTATTAATTTGCATACACTAGCAGGGTTCTCAAGTCTTTTAAACATTTCAAAGCTAACAACATCCTAACATAAGGTTTGAAACACATTCTGATCGGTCAAATATATATATATGTTATTACTAGATTTGACAAATTAGAACACTTCGTTTATAGCCATATCTGGAAGATTTGGCAGATTAACATCCTAAATGGAATACATTTCTGGTATAAAAGCCGGAGTGTCATATATGATTTTGAAGTTCTATCCTTCAGCTCCAATTCGGGCTATAATTTGTCAGGATTGACTGCTGTTTGTTGATACTACGATGGGTTGAAGATGATGACCCATGTTTCTGTTTCTGGATGAGTTCCTTACCTTCCTGTATATTAGTGCATTAGTATTATTATTCTCATTTGTGACAGGTACCTGTGGTAAATCTTGAATATTTTTTCTATTATTACAATGAAGCTTTTCAATTGTTAAGTTTGCCTCTTTGTGGTAGGTTAGTTAGGTTATCCTGTGGTAAATTAGCAAGGCAGTGTATAATATTGGTAGACAAAATACAGCACAAGCTGAGAAATCCCTGCAGACCAACAGGTGGTACCTTGACGGTAGCGTAGTCAGAAGAGATCTCTATGTGTTCTGGCAGGGCCAGAGGAGCCTGTATAGCACTCTTGGACGGCTTTCTTCCTGCACCAAACTGAAAAAGACAATCAAAGATACCACTACAAACGAGCTTCACGTGTTAAACATTAAGTACAAATATGCAAGATAATATTGTATCTCAAGATTATTATACCACCTAACTATAACTTATCTGTAAAATTCTTAAAGATGTCGCCATATAAAATTTAAATGCATCTTTCATAACGCATTATCTTTAAATTACCTGTGGATTTCGTGAGTGATATAGTTCATTATCCCTCCAGATTGCTTCATCTGAACTTCTCCGTGAGTCATCATCGAGACGACCTGGAAAGAAAAAGAGTCATGATGATTCCACCATTCCGCGAATTTCATACCACAGGAGTACCTGTACCTCCACAGGACAACTAGCCTAGTTCTAGCCACACATTTGGTGAGCTATGTGTTTGTTATCTCATTGTATGGGTGGTGAGTGTCTACAATGATCTGGTGTCATTCACGACAGACACAGGCAGAGAGTTGCTCCATATGTCCATATCAATGACAACTATCAATAAGTACCCTATTTTGTTATTTTCACAGGTACCCTAATTTTGTAACTTCCACAGATACTCTGATTTTGTTACTTTCACAGGTACCCTGATTGCTAATTTGATAAGTCCCCTAATTTGTTACTTTGACAGGTACCCTGATTGTTACTTTGACATGTAACCTAATTGTTACTTTGACAGGTACCCTGATTACTTTGACAGGTACTCTGATTGTTACTATGACAGATACTTACTTTGACATGTAACCTAATTGTTACTTTGACAGATACCCTGATAATTATTTTGAAATGTGACCTAATTGTTAATCTGACATGTAACCTGATTGTTACTTTGACAGGTTACCTAATTGTTACTTTGACAGGTTACCTAATTGTTTCTTTGACAGGTTACCTAATTGTTTCTTTGACAGGTTACCTAATTGGTACTTTGACATGTAACCCTGATTCTTACTTTGACAGGTTCCCTGATTGCCTAATTGTTACCTTGACATGTAATATAATTGTTAATCTGACGGGTAACCTGATTGTTACTTTGACAGGTAACCTGATTGTTACTTTGACAGATACCCTGATTGTTACTTGGACAGGAACCCTAATTGTTACTTTGACAGGAACCCTAATTGTTACTTTGACAGGTATCCTAATGGTTACTTTGACAGGTACCCTAATTGTAACTTTGACAGATACCCTAATTGTTACTTTGACAGGAACCCTAATTGTTACTTTGATAGATATCCTAATTGTTACTTTGACAGAAACCCTAATTGTTACTTTGACAGATACCCTGATTGTTACTTTGACAGATACCCTGATTGTTACTTTGACAGATATCCTGATTGTTACTTTGACAGAAACCCTGATTGTTAATTTGACAGATACCCTGATTGTTACTTTGACAGATACCCTGATTGTTACTTTGACAGGAACCCGGATAGTTTTGTTTTTATAGGAACCCTGATATACGAGTTAGAATATTAATGATCATAAGCTTTAGCCTGCTGTGACATAAGTGAAAACGTATAGAAAAATATTCTTCTTGACCCAACTTACGTTTCTTGTTTAAGAAAACATACTAAATGTTATGCTAAGCATTGGATGGCAATCAAGCATATTGAATTAATCACACTTTATGATATGTTATATTAAATCAGTCATAATAAAAACCTCTGGCATTTGATAGATTGCTAAAATTTCAGTTGCCACACTTTTTAACTTAATTTGAGGATTAAGTTGCCAATGGTTCAAAATAAATTAGGGATAAACTTGACAAATGTGATGGCCATAACATCTTGCTATATACAGTACTTTCACTTAAAGAAAATAATTTCTATTTTCATGTCATTTAGATGTTCCTCTTCAAACACATCTTATGGCCAATCATTATATTTTACAGTCGTTATCTGTAAGTAATATTAACATATGTACATATGAGTCAGTTTCTGTTTAAATAATACATATATGAATATATACATAAACAGGCTAACAATCTTCACACAACCTGTGTAGAGATTCAGATATACTTGAGAACATAGATAGTCGTGAGTGAGTCTATCTCCTCTTACTTAGTGTCAACTTACTTAGTATACAGAAGTCCACAGACGTTAAATCAACTTACTTAGTATACAGAAGTCCACAGACGTTAAATCAAATGGGTATGATAATGATTTACAATAATGTAGCTGATAGCAAAATGTCACAAAGATATAGTAAAGGATTTCACATAAATGAAAATGATGGCACAATATAAAATTTGAAATAATTTTACAAGAATATACCTGATAGTAAAAACTTAAATAAAACATCAATACATATAAAAATGAAAACAAGTTGATGAGAAAACAGAAAAAGGGATTCATTCCCAAGATTTATGAATGGAATGATTGATTACTACAATGGTTATTGAAAGGTAGCTCAGGGTCAAAGCTCAGATCAGGGATTGTTACCATCACAGCAACAACATGTCTCATAGAAACACAGTGGTTAGCTAGTGAATTATTGGAAGTGTCATATGGGTGATTATAATTGGTGCATAAAAGTTAAAAGGTCACAAAATTCAAAAGGTCACAGTTTTAGATATTGTAAGGAATAATCACATGATTATGATACTTTATGCAGGTCACATGATTACTGGACAGAAAGGAAGTGAGAATATATGAAAAGCATAAATAAGAAAAGTAGACAAGAAACTACTAGTAGCACTCTAGAAAAGGTTGAGAGAAAACTAGCACTGTAGACATGGTGGTGTAGGTGGGCAACACTGACTAGTGGTGTAAAGATCATATACATGGTGCTGTTATATTATAAAGTGACAGATGTATACATGTAGTATGTAGAAGTTGGGTTAAAAAGAAACTGTAAAAAAGCAAATTGCAACTATTAATCAAAACAGAAGAGTCAACAATAGTACAACAAATTGATCAAGTATATTAATTAGATGCTGCAAGAGAATGTTGACAAGTTATGTTGTGTTAGCTAGCCATGCCTTCTATTGATACAAACACAAAGAACATGTGGTCTCTAATCACAACAAACTGCACCGAAAGCTGTTTCTGGGGTTTTTTTCTCCCCAAAATAATTATTAAAAAAACACCCCGAAATGAACCAATTAAAAAAAAAAAAATATGGAAACTCTGAAGTTGTTTTTACCCGATGATAAATTTGTGTAATATACTGTATACCGGGACATTTTTCGGCACAGTTTAACTTTTGACTTTTTCACCGCCATCACGAGGGTGAATTAATCCCGACAGTGAATATTTATACACAACACGCTATATATAAATAGTCGCTACATCTGAAGACCAAATTTACACAGGGCGAATGTTGATTTTACCAATGAAGGGCATCATTTGGACTTGACGAAAGTTTCCCGGTATACAGTCATATGCTTCAAGTAACAGAAAAAATGATTAAATTTAACACATCACCTTTTTTGTTAATTTCTGTCATTCATACAAAAACTGAGTTGAGTTAGCTTCTCTGCTTAGTTACGTACATGCATTTAACTTTACACTACAAGCCAGGTATACATTGATAAACATAGCAGTTAATGCGTCGACAACATAGGCACCCAGCCACACAGCGATGCAGGGTAGGCCGCTAGTGTTAACATAAATTGTATAAATACTGTGTCACCATCTCTCCTCTATAAACAACCTCGTAGAAGTCCTCCACTGTCTGCATAAACATCAACACTTCAAAGTACCAGTTTCTATAAATTTCGTAGAATCTACACTTTTCATCATTAAAATAAATTTATTTCAATTACTAGGAAAACTTACTTGTAATATACAACTTTCTAATTAACATCATTTCAGATATAAGGAAAACAGCATGAGTAGCAAAACATTTTTAAAAAAACACCTTTAAACTGCCTTTTTTCCATTGACGGTCATACCACAGTGGATGAATTGTACAATGATATTTGAGGAGAGATCTTCCATGACAGACTCCAATGAACTTTGTAATTGAAAAATCACCGTTGTCTGGATTGATTAATTTCGCATCAGAGGGGAATGTGCTCGCCTTCTTCTGTGGTCGCCGCGGTTCATTAATGGCCCAGGCTGACGAGAGGAAGGGGAGAGAAAAAGAGATAATCATGTGGCACTCATGGCAATGCCAGGCTGGTGCCCGGTACAGTGAAGAAATGGTGAGCAACGGATCAGCATAGCCAATATGTCATATTCTAATACCTGTATATTGGGTACTCGGAACAACTTGTAGCCTGCAGATCTAGATCAGCATAACCAAAATGTCATATTCTAATACCTGTATTTGGGGTACTCGGACAGAACCTGTAGATTACAGATCTAGATCAGCATAGCCAATAAGTCATATTCTAATACCTGTATATTTGGTACTCGGAACAGAACCTGGAGCCTTCAGATCTAGATCAGCATAGCCAATAAGTCATATTCTAATACCTGTATAATTGGTACTCGGAACAACCTGTAGCCTTAAGATCTAGATCAGCATAACCAAAATGTCATATTCTAATACCTGTATAATTGGTACTCGGAACAACCTGTAGCCTTCAGATCTAGAGCAGCATAACCAATATGTCATATTCTAATTCCTGTATATTGGGTACTCGTAACAACTTGTAGCCTTCAGATCTAGATCGGCATAGCCAATACGTCATAGTCTAATACCTGTATATTGGTTACTCGGAACAGAACCTGTACCCTTCAGATCTAGATCAGCATAGCCAATAGGTCATATTCTAATACCTGTATTTGGGGTACTCGGACAGAACCTGGAGCTTACAGATCTAGATCAGCATAGCCAATAGGTCATATTCTAATACCTGTATTTGGGGTACTCGGACAGAACCTGTAGCTTACAGATCTAGATCAGCATAGCCAATATGTCATCTTCTAATACCTGTATATTGGGTACTCGGAACAGAACCTGTAGCCTTCAGATCTAGATCAGCATAGCCAATACGTCATATTCTAATACCTGTATATTGGGTACTCGGAACAACTTGTAGCCTTCAGATCTAGATCAGCATAACCAATATGTCATATTCTAATACCTGTATATTGGGTACTCGGAACAGAACCTGTAGCTTACAAATCTAGATCAGCATAGCCAATAGGTCATATTTTAATACCTGTATATTGGGTACTCGGACAGAACCTGTAGCTTACAGATCTAGATCAGCATAGCCAATAGGTCATATTCTAATACCTGTATATTGGGTACTCGGAACAACCTGTAGCCTACAGATCTAGATCAGCATAGCCAATAGGTCATATTCTAATACCTGTATACTGGGTACTAGGAACAGAACCTGTAGCCTTCAGATCTAGATCAGCATAGCCAATACGTCATATTCTAATACCTGTATATTGGGTACTCGGAACAGAACCTGTAGCCTAAAAATCTAGATCAGCATAACCAATACGTCATATTCTGATACCTGTATATTGGGTACTAGGAACAGAACCTGTAGCCTACAGATCTAGATCAGCATAGCCAATACGTCATATTCTGATATGTGTAGATCAGGTGCCCGGTTGGGAATTGGTAAGCTCCAGATTGGAATAGCCAATAGGGAAATTGCAATCCATATTTTTGATTTAAATACATGATACAAAAATTGCAGATTACAAGACTAATTTTGAATTTGAAACATTAACAAACTTAACTGTTCCACAAAATTTTCATAAATTCAATTTTGAAGAACAATATTTTCTTCTGGTAGAACTTTTCATATCTTTTGCTATGTATTAAGAGCAATTTCAAAAAGCATTAACAAAATCTAATGCCACTTTGCTAATTGTCTAACCAAACAGCTTCACTTATAGTAAAGAAGAGACAATTTGTACAATAAATATTTCATATGTCCCTCTTACGACAAACATGTTAACCTGGACACAAATTATCCAGAAAACCACCCACAAGATACTACTGTTAACTGAAATTACTGTTTCAGTAATTTGTAAAAGAAATGTTGTTCAAAATTTGGTCAGAAATCTAAATGCTTAGATTAACAAGGTTCCAAAATAAAATGACACAATAACATATATATATATATATATATATATATATATATACAATGTATATGTCCACAATGGATTAGCAAATACAATTCTCATCTGATACACAATAAAGAAAAGGCTTTCTGGTAAATAGAAATTAAGGCTGACAACAATAATAATATCTATGAAATCAGAGCAAGAAAAGACAAGGACGACAACATGTAGATTACAGCAAAATTGTTGGTATATTGGCAGACTAAAGAAAAAATACTGAAAGCTTAAAGACTTAAAATAAGGCACTGACAGAGGTAAACACCTCTTGTAGATAAGAAAAAGCCTTACCTAAAATCCTTTATCTTACATGATTGGAAATGCATAATAAAAACATTCAAATTTTCCCTTAGTTCAAGTTTCAATGTCAGGATGTTTGAAACAGAAATTCTGAACTCTAATTTCTGAAAGTTCTAGATGATATCCTATGAATAGGGTATGCTTTTTTTTCTTGTCAAAAATCTGAATCACAAAAGATATTGGACCCGCCAAAGATGTGTATGAAATGCAGACTTTCCACTTAGTACCATCTACCAATAAGTATAAAAAGGTTGTACTAACAGAAAAAAAAGTTTAATCCCACATATCTCAACCAACAGGAGGCAATAAACAGTGGCCATCTTGGATATCATAATCTGGTAAATATGGCATTGCTAATGTAGGATATGCACCAAGTACCATTCAACATCAAAATAAATGCTGACAAGTCAGAAATGGCCATGTAGTTTTGACAGTATATTACTGTTCCCTGACTGGTAATCATGGTAGATGTTTGACAGTATATTACTGTTCCCTGACTGGTAATCATGGTAGATGTTTGACAGTATATTACTGTTCCCTGACTGGTAATCATGGTAGATTTTTGACAGTATATTAGTGTTCCCTGACTGGTAACCATGGTAGATTTTTGACAATATGTCCCCCCTCCCTTTTTGTTATTAGTAACAATGACCTTGACCTTCGGAACTTGCTAAACCTCTATTGCACATCTACATTTGACATGTATTACCAAGTGAAATTTCAGAAATTTTAGATTTCTGGATTCTGAGATTTTATTTTGAAATCTCTTAAGCTGGAACCTCATAGTTACATTATCAAAGGAGGTGAATTAATCCTCACAATTAATTAATAGGAAACACTATGGTTAAAATCTACAAGGGAAATAACATGGCTTGTTTCATCAACAACAAGGGAGAGAACTGGTCCTGTAAAAGCAATATAAGTGCTGTCACAACAACAAATATATAGGTCAGTGTCAACAATTAATGGATGCTTCAACAATAACTAGATCTAAAAAGCGCAAAACAAAATTTATAAAAACTAAATGTATAGTCAACGAGAAAGACTAGATGATAAAACAACAGAACTGAAGACTTTCGTAGAATGGCTAACAGAGAATATGTATGTGCAGTCAGTGAAATGCTTTATACATGTGAAGGAAAGATGTATGAAAAAATGTTTGAAATCAACAGCTGCTGGAAATAAAATTGGAGGCAAAAATAATCATGGAAGCAGAATTCTGGGATTTTCTTCTGGACAAAAAGCCAACAAAAATGTTTAATCAATCACAGAAGCCCATTTGTTTTCATTCCATTATATATCCACCAATCACCTTCATCTTCTTCCTTCACTGCAAGTTTCATACTGTATGACTTCCTGAACTGATAGTGAGGCTCTCTGTCACTATCGGCCTGTTCCAGACTCATAGTGCTGGTGAGTTTGAGTTCACGTTCCAGAACAGGACAGGATTTGCGATAGATTTCCTTTTGAGCGTCTGAATGGAGAAGATTGGGGCAGACAATACAAGCTATTTTCTACAAGATTTTACAAAGATCGCCAAATCTCATGTCACCTTATATATTACTGGAAGCAATTTCAAAAAGCAACAACCAATTCAGGTTTTAGATTCAACAAGACATCCAAATTATAAACTCAATCAAAACATTTTTCTGTATTTTTTTTTTACAGTATTAGCATGTCAACAAGAAATTCTCTTCTGGACAGATATAGATGTCAAGGACATTAACTAAACAAAGAGCACCAGTAAAATGTCTGTAATCTGATCAGTGCTGTTTTATTTAGCCTCTCTTAGACATTGAATCCTCCATGAATTATGACCTACTCTCCTGGTCGTGTTAACGTATTTAGCCTCTCTGAGACATTGAATCCTCCATGAATTTTGTCCTACTCTCCTGGTCGTGTAAACTTATTTCGCCTCTCTGAGACATTGAATCCTCCATGAATTTTGACCTACTCTCCTGGTCGTGTAAACTTATTTAGCCTCTCTGAGACATTGAATCCTCCATGAATTATGACCTACTCTCCTGTCGTGTAAACTTATTACAACAAGTGGGCATTAACAGCAGAGAAAGATTTGACACTTGAATCAGTAATTATTGTGTACGGAGCTAAGAATAATGATTGTTTTCAATGATGATCAACACAAAAAGTTCGCCCAGGGCTGAAGGGTGAGGAAATATAATATTAACAGAGACAAAAGAAAGAACAAATGATAGAGAAGACGGTATGGAGTTGTACAAACCTGTCTATAGCCACTTTTGATGAAAGAGCAAAATTTTACACAGAAAAGGGATTGGATATCATCTTGTATGATAGGAGAGGGCTAGGGGATATATAGGGTTGGTCTGCTTGTGTATACATCCTATTAACAGCTAGAGTCGTTTTTTGGTTGTGGAGGAAAGCTGGAGTACCCTGAGAAAACCATCAACCTACGGCTAGTACCTGGCGACTGGCCCATGTAGGCGTTGAACCCACGACCCAATGTTGGGGGGCTATGTTTATAGACACTGGCCCACGTAGGCTTTGAACCCACGACCCAATGTTGGAGGGCTTATGTTTGTAGATGGTTAGACACGTGAGCCACTCGGCCACCAAGGCCCCTTTGGGGAGCCTGATTGTATGATAGGAGAGGTCTAGGGGATAGATTACATACAGAGAAGTCTGATATCATGTTGTATTTTACACAGAGAAGTAGATCTGATATCATGTTGTATTTTACACAGAGAAGTAGATCTGGGCCTGTATTCATGAAACCGTTCTCATGCTCAAGCATGTGTTTTGTGCTCAAGTCTTGTTGCGATATAACTTAAAAATAAAATCTTATTTTGTCAAGCTGAATACTGGTTTCAATGTATTCATTTGACTACTTGATCGTTTGACATGATTTAAGTGAGTTACAAGAAAGTTGGTTTGAGCACAGAATCCATGCTTGAGCATGAGAACGGTTTCATGAATATTAATATGGGCCCTGATATCATGTTGTATAACAGAAGAGGTCTTGGAGAATCAGTCCATACTGAGAAACGATCTACTATTATTTTGTATGATAGGAGAGAGGTCTAAGGGGATACACTTTACACAGAAAAGTATGTCTAATGCTGTGTTATTGTAAGATATGGGGGTAAATTTGTAATTATACAGAAAGGAATATTTTCCTATCAAAAAAGAAAAATCTTATAATCTCACACAAAATATATAAAGAGTTATCACAAGTTAATAAAACTTTTGTACAATATACTATATCAGTAATTTAAAAAAAAAATCATACAATATTCAGTCGCATTAATCACAAAGAAATCAAAATGCAATATCTTTATAGACATTTATGTATAATTCCATATAAAATCAGGTAATATTGAAATACCTTTATTATTGTACATCAATATATGACATATACAACAAAAATAATATGAAGAAATCTGACGGTTTGGTTATATGATTAGAAAAAATAATAAGTCTTTAACCTGATGTAACTTTATCTAATGACACCATTCTATAGTTTACATAAGTCTATCATGCCTCCCATATATACATGCTAACAGCTGAACTTTCTTCCATGCATAACCATCAGTGATTGAAACTGTTCGTTGAATAATGACCAGAGTTAAAATAACCCTGTTCTATGTATGTCAAGTGAAAACAACTTTGTTCTATGTATGTCAAGTAAAAATAACCTTGTTCTATATATGTCAAGTAAAAATAACCTTGTTCTATGTATGTCAAGTAAAAATAACCGTTCTATAAATGTGAAGTGAAAATAACCCTGTTCTTTGTATTAATGTAAAATGTCAAGTGTGTTTTAAATATTAGAAATTTAACAAGTATCTAGTTATAATTTATTCACCAACATGTGCCCATGAGTACAAACAGATCAAAGACCACACTGTATGATCTTGATAATAAATGCATTGAATAATATTAAGGTGGGATTCATAATAAAGGGAATAAATGATGGTTATTACCAAAAATGACTCTCTTTGTTTTGTGTTTAACAAGACTTTGTAACAAAGATATTGTCAACCTTTAACATTCAACCTTCAATCCAATGATTTCTATAAACTAAAACTAAGCATACACTTATGTAATATTCCATAGTTAGATCATTTATGTCATAACTTCAAAATCCACAATGAAAATGTGAATAAGAGCTACAAGAATGTGGAGGAAAAACCTTGTACTTAAACCTGCACACCGTAATTATATATATATATATATATATAAAAGCACACATTTACTGTAAATAGGTTCCTAGGTTCATACCTGCATGGTCTCCTTGCCGCTTACGGATCATACTGGGACGAACTAATCGCTCGCCATTCTTCAGATCATGTTGGTAAGGAGGTGGACAGGTTGGGCTGTCTGTGCGCGGGGGTGGGGAAGCTGAGGATGGGCGCTCCTGTTCACTGTCGGACGTCGGACCACCACGTAGGTTATTAGGCTGGTCATATATAGGTTCAGACTCTTCTGTACTTTGGCTATGGAGAAAAAGTAAAATCAAACTTTAAATTATCCCTTTCGTTAATATCTTTGACCCCAGGGAAATTTATCTTTTAAATACATTTTTCAAACAAGAGGCCCAGAGGGCCTGTATCGCTCACCTGGATACCTAAGCAATCATGGCAAACTATTCTCCAAATGAGATCAAGGGAATATGCCAGACCCCAAGGCCAATCCTTGTAGCATAGCTATATTAGATTTTTCATGCCCAGCAATTTTATGTATGGTTATGGGGTGGGGATCTCAACTGTTTCCAAGCTTTGACTCAGAA